CCTCCCCCTCGATTCTTTCCCTTCTCCCCAGCTATTAGCCGACTAAAATCCTCTTTGTTCAAAAACTGCACTTTTTTGGTTTTTTAGCATTTAAGAAAGCATTTCCGAACTCATCATACTCGGCACCATTTCTTCTCAGTTGATTTGAACGCCTCTGTGGTAAATTTTACATTTTACTAGTCGAAACCTGCGTTCACCCCACCAAAATCCACCTAGCCTCACTCGCCCTCAACCATGTATTGATGTTCTGGCCCCTCATTTATCATTATGATCAAACAATATATTTGTCTGGACTCAATTTTGCGTTCGTTAACTTCTTCCTTAAACGTTTTTTCTACATCAGCTGTTGTGGGTCTTTTCAGCCTAGAGTAAGATTGCTCACATCCCTCCCCCTCTATCTGTCGAACCAAGAAAAGACTGAAGCAGGACAAAGCAAGGAAGAAATGTCTAAACTTCGCCAATGACAAGGAACAAGCCAGAGCGACAAGGATTTTGCCTGGCTATGACAACAACACTTTGCGCACAAAACGATCGAGAAGTACCTTGAATGCGCCATCATAGTGTCCCACTTCCTCGCCAATCAGGAAGATGCGCTCGTCGCGCAGCATTTCCTCATCGATGGCCATGCCTAGCGCTTCACGCATAGCCATCTTAGAGCCAGCGCGCACCTGTCCCAGGCCACGAGCACTGCGCATTGCCATACGGCTCACAATCCCAATCATCTTGTTAAGCGCCATTGCCGGCCGCGAGCGAGACAACCTGAAAAATCGGCGACCGGCAAAATGACCGAGTTCCATCGAATATCGCAGCACAAGCAAGCAGGTACCACAGCACTGGCACAGTGCTCCCTGCGAGGGCTTCGGCCCACAACCGCACTGACCAGTGCCGGACACAGATTGTCCGTCAGTAGGCCAATGCTCTCTTGCTCGTACTTACCAAGTCAGACAAGGGGAGAGGCACTCAACTATGCATGCAGGGTGCCCTTGTTACTTATACGATAACCTGGCCATTACACGAGCATTCCGTTTCGCCTCACCTGTTAGTAGACGGAGCATTCCTTAGATCAGTGGTAAGGCACGAAGTGACTTGTCCAAGTAACGGACCTCTCACAACAGACATTCTGTAGGGCTTGGCACCATGGACATCTGAGCACACGTTACCGGGATTTTGAATTTCTTGCGTGCGCTGAGACACATACTGTGACGCCATCCAGCAGGATGTACCCCACCCCTCAGTACGTTAGTGCATCTGTTGGTGGTGTGTACTGCTGCCTGGTTGGCAGGTGTTTCTGTGCATGTTTGTGTTTCTTAAGTGTCCGCCTGTGTTGACGTACGCGTATGCCTCTGTTTGTAAGCAAATATGCATGG